AATGGCGTTCATGTTGCTTATCCTGACCTAGGTGTGGTATGACAAATGTTAAATGTGTGAATGAAGCCCCAAACGCTAACGTTTCTGCACATAGTTGTCAAATCGCGTATCGTATCGTGTATCGAAAACTTAATTTTTTGAATCATGTATCGCGTATCGTAGGATATGCTTTTTTTCAAAAAATTAATATAATAATAAATAAATAATCAAAATTTTCTAAAAATTAATATTATTCCCAAAATTAATTAAAGAATTTTGTGGTATTATTAGCTTTAAATTATGATATTACACAATCAAAATTAAGAATTTATATTATTTTCTCTCAACCATTTATATCATTTCTAAGATCAATGTCAATATCTATATCTCCACTTGTATTATTATTATCATGCAAAATGGACAACACATGTTCTTCTTCACTTTCTTCATGCAAAATGGGCAAATTTTAGTGAACTGGGTTGGGTGACCCGATTCTAACCCGAATTTTTTTTGGGCATTTGGCCCAAATTAATAAAGTCGTATCGATATTTTTAAAGATACGAACGGATACGTATCATATCGTAGGATACATATCAACGTATCAAAAAGTTTACACTCTTTGATACGTATCGTTGACGACCTATATCAAATCGTATCGTATAATACATAACGAGTATCGTAGGATACTAATAACCATGTTCTGCATACAACACTTAACAACATGCTACCGTTTTTTATACTCATATGAGACAATCCTAGCCGTTGAAGCAATCAACATCCAATGACCAGAATTTATCCAGCAAGTCAACCCTATATAAGCAAGCTTCTTTGCAGATTCTTAGAGCTCTCTCTCGTGTGTGCGAATTAGGATTCTTGGTGCTTTGGTTAGGGTTCTTCAATCTTGTCTCAAGTATGTGTAATCGGTGTTACAATCTGGAATTGTACTGTGAGGGTAGTATTTCTTTCAGGATTAGAAAGGCTGGTTCAGGTTTCTCTATAGATTAACGGTTTGGGGGGTTTGTTCAAGATTGAGAGTTGTGCATGTCTTTGAGAATTGTTGTAAGTTGTAAAGAACTCTTTATTCCTAGAGCAGTGAGCCCAAAAATTCTTGGAGCTCAAAGTAGACATAGTCTTTCCAGTTTTGGAAAGGTGAATCACGGTAAATTTGATTGTTCTTGTGTTCTTGATCTTGTATGTGTGTTGATATGTTAGTTTGTGTGTGATTTGCGGTTGATTGATCACAAATTGGTATAACAGTGGTATTAGAGCACAGTGAGGGTTGTCAATCCTTAGGGTTTCTTGATTTCGAAATCTAAGGTTTTGTCAAAATTGGGGATTTCTTGATTAATAGTCTCGATGGAGTCTAGGGTTAGAAATTCTCTCAATTCGTGTTGTCAATTCGGGAAAAAAATCAGAAATCAATCTTGATTTCTAGGGTTTCGTCTAGTAATCACCAAACACAATCACCTCGATCCAATCATGAGTACAACTAGGGTTGAGATCACCCAATATGACGGAAAGATCGATTTTACTAATTGGAAAAAGAAGATGAAGGCTTTGTTGTCCCACAACAAAGTGGCTATCGCACTAGAGAAGGACCCCACCAAATGGCCAGAGGAGAAGCTAAAGAAGAAGGTCGAAGTAGATGATGAGGCCTATAATTTGATCATTATGAATCTCTCCGACAATGTGCTATGTAAGGTTGATGGGTTTGAAATCCCAATCAGCCTCTAGGGTAAGCTTGAATCTCTTTACTCTTTACAATCAGCGCCTAATCTTGCATATTTAAAGGGTGCTCTTTTTTCTTATAAAATGGATAGTAATAGGACTATTAAGGAGAACCTTAATGAGTTCTTGAAAATGACCCTGGTTCTTAAGGGCATTGATCAAGAACTCAATGACTCCAACCTTGCCATAATTCTTTTAAATTCATTGACTGAGGAGTATCAGGTGGTAAAGAATGCTCTACAGTACACGGGTACTATACCTAGTGTAGAATTGATAGTTGCTAGGTTAAAAGCTAGGGAGTTAGAACTCAGGGCTCAAAAGAAGAGCAATAATAGTCTGTTTGTTAAGGGTAAGGGAGAAACAGGTCATGTGGGTAGTAACTCTTATCATGTTAATGGCCCTAGGAACAGGTCATGTGGGTAGTAACTCTTATCATGTTAATGGCCCTAGGAACAAAAAAAAAAAAAAAAAAAAAAGGGTAAAAACACACATAAGTCTAAAGGGGAAACCTGAAAATGTTTCAACTGTAATAAAACTGAACATCTAAAAAAGAATTGTTTTGAGTGGATTAAAAAACACAAGAATGCTAACACTGAGAGTAATCTAGCTACCACCAAACACAGTATTGAAGAATCAAAGGTCCTGACAATGTCTAAGTCTGACATTATAGGGGAATGGGTGTTGGATTCTAGTTGCTCATTCCATATGAGTCCGAATAAGAATTGGATCCAAGATTTTAAGCCTAGTGACCTTGAAACAGTGTTCATGGGTAACAATAATGCCTGTAGAGTTTAGGACGTTGTTAGTATAACTTTGAGGTTGGATAATGGAAAACTAGTCAAACTGACTAAGGTTAGATACATTTCAGAACTTATGAGAAATCTGATCTCACTAGGAACCCTAGATGAAATCGAGTGTTGTTATAAGGCTGAAAATGGATGCTTAAATGTCTATAAGTAGTATAACTTTGAGGTTGGATAATGGAAAATTAGTCAAACTGACTAAGGTTAGATACATTTCAGAACTTAAGAGAAATCTGATCTCACGAGAAACCCTAGATGAGTCCGAGTGTTGTTATAAGGCTGAAAATGGGTGCTTAAATGTCTATAAGGGCAACAACATAGTTCTAGTGGGGTAAAAAGGAATGGGCTGTAAATCTTGTGTGGGAATCATTATTCTGATTGTTTGAATATTGTACTGCTTACTACTAATTTGTCTGTTACTGAGAAATGACACTTAAGGTTAAGCCATATGAGCAAAAAAGGCATAGATACTCTAAGTAAACAGGGTCTGTTTGGCAGGGATGTCATTAGTTATATGAATTTTTGCAAAATTTGTATAATGGGAAAGCAACATAGGCTGAGCTTTCATAAGGGGACACACCAAGCCACTAATTGCCTAGAATACTTACATGCTAATCTTTGGAGGCCTGAAAGGGTAAAATCTCATGGGGTCAGTAGCTATTTTTTGTCTATAGTTGATGACTACAGTAAGAAAGTTTGGGTATTCTTATTTAGGACTAAAGATGAGGCCTTAGATAGGTTTAAGAGTTGGCAAACCCTTGTAGAGAATCAGGTGGACAGAAAAGTTAAAGCCCTTAGGACTGATAATGGGCTAGAGTTTTGCAATTCAGAGTTTGACAGATACTGTAGTGATCATGGCATATTGAGACATAGAACAGTAAGGGATACTCCTCAGCAAAATGGAGTGGTTGAGAGAATGAATATGACTCTGTTGGAGAAGATGAGATGTTTACTGTTCACATCAGGATTACCGAAGACCTTTTGGGGAGAAGCCCTCAACAAAGCAACCTATTTAGTTAACCGGAGTCCCTCTAGTGAAATAAGTTTCACCTATCTTGAAGAGAGATGGTCTAAAAGAAAGCCAAATTTAAGCCACCTTAGGGTCTTTTGGTGTGCAGCCTATGCACACACAAATGAAGGGAATCTTGAACCTAGGTCGCTCAAGTATGTATTTCTTGGATATTAGGAAGGGATTAAGGGGTGTAGGTTATAGGAGAGGAATGCACCAGGGGTTAAAACAATCATTAGTAGGGATGCTATTTTTAATGAAAATATATTTCCTTGCAAAATTACTAACCGTGATGCATGTACTTCTAGCATTGACTCTGAGTCAAGAACCAAGTGCAAGGACACAAATTCAGGTGGAGCCCTCAAGTGCACAAACTGATGAAGGAGATACATATGAAGAAATTGAAGTGGCAGCCTTGGATCATGACCATGAGGGTGAACCAACTAAGAACCTTGAACCAACTCAAGAAGAGTCTTTGGCACAATATCAACTAACCAGAGATAGGACCCGCAAAGAGATCAGACCTCCAACAAGATATTCTTATGTTGATCTGATCTATACTGCATTGGGGGCCTGAGCTAAAGTATTTAGAACTAAACCTGATAGCTATGATAAAGCAATCAGGTCAAAAGACAAGGACAAGTGGTAGGTTGCAATGGAAGAAGAAATGCAGTCACTGAAAGTCAACAGAACCTGGTCCTTGGTCCCAACTCCAAAAGATCAGAAACTAGTTGAATGTCAATGGTTATTCAAGGTAAACGAAGGTATAAATCTTTCTGACTCTCTTAGGTATAAGGCTAGACTTGTAGCTAAAGGTTACAGATAAAGGGAAGACAGACTTTAATGAAATTTTCTCACCAATATTTAAGTATAAAACAATTAGGCTTATGTTGTCTGTAGTTGTACATTATGACCTAGAACTAGAGCAACTAGATGTTAGGACTGTCTTTCTACATGGTAATTTAGAAGAGAAGATATGTATGAGGCAACCTACTGGATTTGTTGATAAAAAACTTCCCAATCATGTGTGTTTGCTACATAAGTCCTTGTATGGACTGAAACGGTCCCCTAGGCAATGGTACAAAAGGTTTGACGTATTCATTTTAAGCATTGGGTTTAACAGGAGCAAATATGATAGTTGCTTTTATTTTGCTTTGGATAATGATATACCTTTGTATTTATTCTTATATGTGGATGACAAGCTTTTGATTACCAAATCTAAGTCTAGAATAGATGAGTTAAAAGGTAAACTTAAGGCTAAGTTTGACATGAAAGACTTAAGATGTACTAAAAAGATATTAGGAATGGTAATACATAGAAATAGAAAATGCCATGAATTAAGATTAACTCAAAGTTCATACTTGCAAAAACTAGTTTCTAAGTTTAACATGGTTGACTCTAAGGTTGTGTCCATGCCTTTAGCTAGTCATTTTACACTTAGTAAACACTAATGTCCTAAAATAGATGTTGAGTTAATAAAGATGGAAAATGTCTCTTATGCCAATGTAATAGGGTCAGTCATGTATGCCATGATTAGCACCAAGCCTGACCTCTCCTTTGCCATGTCTTTGCTGAGTTGTTTTATGACCAATCTTGAGTCAAAACACTGGTTTGCTCTTAAATGGGTCCTAAGGTATATTAATGATACTTCACATGTTGGTTTGGAATACTGTAAAAGATATAATTCACTTGATCTTGTAAGCTTTGTAGACTCTGACTTTGCAGATGATAAAGACACAAGGAAGTCAACCACCTCTTATTTCTTCACGTTAGGAAGGAATTGTGTGAGCTGGAAATCCCAACTTCAGCCTATTGTAACACTCTCCTCAACTGAGGCAGAGTCTGTGGCCATCGCTAATGTGTTCAAGGAAGCACTATGGCTTTAAGGAATTTTGTCTGAAGTAGATTTGATCGATGAAGTAGCCACCATTTATTCAGACAGCCAAAACGCCATTCACCTAAGCAAGAATCCTGTCTATCATGATAGGACCAACCATATGGATGTAAAATTTCATTTTGTCAGAGATCTAATTGCCCAATGACTGATTATCTTGAAGAAAGTCTCAATTAAAGATAATCCTGCTGATATGGGTACCAAGATTGTAATTGTTGCCAAGTTCAATCATTGCTTGAACCTGCTGTTTGTGAAATAATGGGTGGCAACTAAGCTGTGAAGGGAATTTTGGATGGTTTGCTGCACTTAGGAAATCTGGAGTTGCAAGGTTTTGAGCTTCAAGGTGGAGAATTGTCAAATGTGTGAAGCCCAAAACGCTAACGTTTCTACATACAACACTTAACAACACGCTGCCGTTTTTTATACTCATATGAGACAATCCTAACTATTGAAGCAATCAACATCCAATGGCAAGAATTTATCCAGCAAGTCAACCCTATATAAGCAAGCTTCTTTGTAGATTCCTAGAGCTCTCTCTCGTGTGTACGAATTAGGATTCTTGGTGCTTTGGTTAGGGTTCTTCAATCTTGTCTCAAATCTGTGTAATCGGTTTTACAATCTGGAATTGTATTGTGAGGGTAGTATTTCCTTCAGGATTAGTGAAGCTGGTCTAGGTTTCTCTATAGATTAACGGTTTGGGGGGTTTGTTCAAGATTGAGAGTTGTGCGTGTCTTTGAGAATCGTTGTAAGTTGTAAAGAACTCTTTATTCCTAGTGCAGTGAGCCCAAAAATTCTTGGAACTCAACGTGGATGTAGTCTTTCTAGTTTTGGAAAGGTGAATCACGATAAATCTAGTTGCTCTTATGTGTGTGTTGATATGTTAGTTTGTGTGTGATTTGCGATTGATTGATCACGAATTGGTATAACAACAGAACTTTGCCATAAGGCATGAATGTCTAACCATAACTGTTATTAATAACACATGTATATTGTGTACAGGGAAAAGCTGGAAATGAGTCGATATGTTTGTATACTGCAAATATGACTGCTAGAGAGGTCACACTCACAGGAAGAGGGCAAAAAGAAATTACCAACAGAAGAGGCGGCTCTTACAGTCACATTCAAAGGATTTTTCTAACATTTCTTTCAAAGTTTGTTAAGTGGTTCTGCTACGTTTTCCAATTCTGTTCATATGTTCTCCAAATACTAAATGAAAACAGCTAAATAGTTAGCTGTGGAAAGGAAAATAATATTACAGAAAAAAGGGTATATGATAGTCATATGCCAACAATAATGTCAAATGATCAGCAAATCAACACAGGTTTTCTTGTGATGAAAGATTCTGAAAAAGCTATATAGTCATACTTGGTAGCAACTCACAACCATGAGGCTTATCCACCAAAAAGACAAAAAGAGGTAGCATTTCATTCTATATATATATATTATTTCTGAATTTAATTCTATATAGACAATCTTATTTACACCGTTAAACTATTGATATGGGTTCCACATGAATGAATGAGGAACAAGACTCTGGAGTCATAAAATAAGACCTATAACTAAATTGGTTACATTTTAATTGTAAGAATATGATGGTGTATCAGAATTTACCAGTTCAGTTCTCCTTGCCGGAGGTTGCCTTTGGAAGTTTAAAGGTGGGAGGTTTGTCAACACCTCTCCTTGAGTACTCCCTCCATCTCCTTGCGGCCTCCGCTGCCCTCCTTGCTCTCTCTTTGACTTCCTCTTCTGCAACAACACATATGAAGCTTCATTAATATTTGGTAGAAGCAGAGCTAGCCAAACACAGATTACAACAGAGGCCACACAAGAAATAATAAAAATGTACAGCAGACATGAAAATTTGTTTTATGACCTTTATAACTATCACATTAAATTATAAATCACAATGCCTATTCTCATTAGAAACCCACATCTTTTTCTTGCATTGTTTTAGAGAGTAAAGCTGCTGTAAGTCCAGTTGTGCACTTGTGCTTCTATAATCAGATACTTAAATGCATAAAAAATACAAAAATATAACCTAGAAGCAGTAAAATTCAAAATATTAAGGAAAGACCTACCCAAGAAGAGAAGATATTAGTAATCCCTTAATGAAAGTCCTCTCACCTGAATTTTGATACTCTTTTGGGTTGCCCCATAGATTGCTCCAGTATGCTTCAGTTTTCGCAGAACCTTTCTCCTTCATCATCCTTATTTTAGCTTGCTCCTGCAAATAGTTAGGAATCATCATCAAAATAGTCAGAGTATTTTAGAATGTAATTGCCCAAAACCAACTTGAATGTTTCTGCCAGGAAGAGCAGTAATAAAAGACATCTCTTCGAATCAAAGCATTTAGAAGATTATAGGAAAACTGAGAAACTCCTTGCTTCAAAATAGTTTGCTTTCAGCAGCTCAAACCAATCCACAGTATCAAAATTCTCATAATCCATATGGCTCAATAGACTATGAGTTACGAAATGTTTCATACACAAATGAAGAAAATTGTTGAAACCAAAGATTAAATTGACTTAAGATGTAGATTTCATACCAACACTTTTGCTTGCCTCTTCTCCCATCGAGAACTTGCCTGCCAGGGCAAAAGACTATTTAAAATTGCTACAGCATCAAAAATAATGCACGAAAAAAAAAAAAAAAAAAAGGCTAGAATACTGTATCTCTATTAAATACACACATAAATAATCAGGCAATAGTATTAATATCCAATACTCTGAACACTATATCAATATTAGAACCCTATTTCCAAACACAGATTGTTTGATTACAAAATGGAGAAAAATTATTTCTCTTTTGCAAAACCATAAGAACACTGACGTGAGAGCTGCAAATCCAACCAAGTGGAGGAACTGATAACATTATTAAGATTTAAAAATGATGAAGAAAATGTAACAGACTTACCATCCTAAAAACATCCATTGATCCAGATCCCATTCCTGAAAGCATCAGGGCCACCTGATCATCATTTAAAAGTCACACAAGTGTCATTGAAGAATTAATTTCTCTCTCTTTTTTTTTTTTTTTTTAATAGGAAAAACATCAATGTCTTTTCTCCTTTGCTTTAGAAAGTAAATTGAAGAAGATATTCCAGAGGTTGAAGAATATGATCAAGGACACAAAAGATTACAGAGGACCCACATCATAGATTTAGGAGACATGAACCAACAACTTGAGTGATTCTTAAACCACAAAATACTACTAAAAATAGATGTAAATCCACTAAGGTCAGACAGCTACTGGTGAAGTATAACTGCCCCACAAATACATATCATTTACCATCTAAATCTGAAATGAAGTATCAGAAAAATTTTGCATAGTATATCAACAAGGCAGAAATTGTCAATAGTAAATCTTACATTTACTCTTTCTACCCTGCGCATTTCATCTTCGAGCAAAGATAGTTGAGCAGCTGAAGTCCAGTGAATGCAATCCACTGGGCTGAAACACAGAACATCTGTTAACTAAGTTCTCTGATTTCATTTAATCTAGAAACTTCCTAACATGCAATAGATGCTAAAATAAGAGTTTACTTATATAATGTGTGGGTGAGTGTGTGTATGACATCATTCTGAAAGAACTCAATTCACACTACAACAGAAGGATGTGAAGCTAATAGGAGACAATCAGCAATGAAATGAATTCACAACAATCTACATATATATTGGCATCAAGCTAGATAGAAACAGATGAATGAATGATGGATTACCGATGCTTTCCTCATAGCTATGCTAAAAATAGATAAAAATCACGAAACTAAAGCATCTTATAGTGTTGCAAATATCCACAAAGCAGGAATTTACCAACTCTCAATTGCTTGTTGAACTAATTCAGGGTTCCCACACTGGCTATAAACTCTGGCCCTTCCAAAGTCTTCCTCAATTCCAAACACATCTGGGGCCACATTGGCACAATTTTTGCAGCCTGTGAAGAAAAGATGCCAGCTTACTGTAACTCTTATAAATTTTTTTCTAGGAACCTAACAACATGTTCTGTAATGCATGCACTCCCAACCACCTGTCATCTTCAATTCTTGATCACATAACATGTAGAGGAGCAAGTTCACATACCTATGCAGCTAAACTCGTCAACGAATGCAAGATCCTTCGGGCTAGAATCATCCAAGAAAGGGTTGATTGCACTCAATGCATACCCATGAATTTCATCATAAACCATGCGCTGTACAGGGTCGCTGAGAACCTGTACTGCAATAATCTATTTATAGTAAAAGCAAAAGAAAGGCTTAAATCAAACTAAAACCACTACATTTCAAATGGTAACCCACCGCGTAGACCTCATTAATGAACATGCAAAAATTTGTTGTCTCTGGATCGTTGCCACTCAAGTCTGGATGGCAAGCTTTCATGCAATTATAATAAGCTTTCTTAATCTGCTCTGGTGTGGCATCTGGCAGCTATTAACACATAACAGTCAACAATCAGATGTATTGAATCGGGCCAAGCACTGTACAATAATGGAATTTTATGCAGAATAATCCTACAATCTAAAATCTTAAATGAATTAAATTTTTTTAATGTAAAGTGATTCCAACAAAATTCAAACTTTTAGGAAGATTCAAACACTTGAAGTTATGAATCTTGTCCCCAAATAGTTTAACACATTACAACGTTTCTACATAACATTTTCTCAATAACCAAACAGAAAAAAATCCAAAAATTACCAGACCCAGAACAGCGTAATAGTCATCAGCGATGGCATCCGTGGAAGCTGAACCGTCTATGGCAACTTTAATTCTGCCACAGCCTCTTCTCTTTCTGCCACCACTACGAACGATCAAGCTCCAACTAGTACTACCATTCGCCGAGGAGGACCAAGACCCTCTTGAGCTAAAACTATGCAATAATGGGTTGTGAAATTTGAGAGCATCAGTGCAGACAGGAGTCATTAACTGGGCAGCCATAGCCGAAGCATGCATGCAAAAGCAAAACCAACTGCAAATCAGAGAAAAGAAAATAATGACGTCCAAGAGAGTTAGATTTTATAGGGGTTATAATAGAATATCTGAAAATTTTGAGGAGGAAGAAATCTTGGCATGAAATGGTTGAATGCTGACATGGCGACATGACAGCCATACGCCATCCTTACAATCTGGACGAAATGAAGAAGAATCCAGTGGGAGGGAGTTTAGCGTAGATGTTGCACGTGTCACCTCGTGGATAATTGTTGCCTCACGCTTCAAACAATTGCTTGCTTGCACTCTTTTGTTTTGTAGAATCTACGACAAGAGTCCCTACAGTATTTGGATTCTATCCAATTATCAAATTATTATAAATATAATATGGTTTTAAATTTTGATAATGGCGGGCCTAATCCTAATGGGCTTCTCAAATTCAGGAGAATCCCTCCCTGAGAAAAGGCATTTTCCCTCCCGCTTAAGGAACACACTCGCGCGTGAAAACCGCGCGCGTGCTCATTTAAACAGACAGCATTTTGATTCGAGTCTGAACGATCACCTCGTCTGTCTGAATTTGAATCCCTAATCTAACCAAACGTCTTCGATTTATCACTCAACCAAACCCCGATGTCGAGCCCGCGCGGTGCTTCCAAAGACGGCAATGGAGTCGGTAGAGAAGCCGCCGTCGCCAAAACGGCGGGGTTTGTGGTCTTCTCGGGCATTGCAATCAGCATCCTCAAAACGTTAAACCCACTCTACAAAAATAAAAATGATACCAGTCAGCCACTCGCCGAGTCCACTCAGCCCAGCCCACCTCTTCCCCAACCGCAACCGCAACTGCCCGTCGCCAAGGTATGTTACACTGATAAATTTATTTATAAATTTTGGTTCTTTTCTTGTAGGTTTTATAAAAATATTTTAGAATTTTTTACTGTTTGCTTTATTTATTTATAGATTTATCTTTTGGTGGTAGAAACCTAGTAGTTGTGCGGATCAAAGTTAACCCGAGTCAAGATCATGCAGAACAATTGACATAGTGAAGGGAGATACGCTTTGGGGTCTCTCTAGAAAATATGCGGTATCTTTTCCTTTCATTTGCTTCCAGTTTGCAGAATAATTTATCGGCTTTTTCATAGAAATAATGTTCAAAATGCGCTTTAATTTTTTTTTTTTTTTTTTTTTTTTTTTTTTTTTTTTTTGTTTTGTTGCGTGAAATTGCTTAGGTGTCCATTGATGCTATCAAAGAGGCTAATGGACTTTCAGGGGACACCATCTATGCTGGCAAGAAACTCGTGATTCCATGAAGTAATTTCTAGCTCTTTATATCTGTTTTTAACATTTCTTTTTCTCATGATTTGAGACTTGTATTTGGCACACGCCGAGTGGTAGCTTGTACCTATTTTGTTTGTAATTTTGACATGAGAAAGACTGAATCGGCTGAAGTAGAATGGAAAATGTTTCGCATGAAGTTTTTCCCAAAAAATTGTCCGTGGAAGCCTATTGATAATTTCTATTCACTCTAAAATATCCATGGCTGTTCATCTGGTTTTCTTTTTTTTAGGCTTTGCCTTTTGCTGTTTTAATTCTTTGTTTGAAGACAGGGATGTAAATGGAAAGGTTTGTTTGGGAGGGCGGTTGGTTGATTTAGGGTATGGAAGGTAAACTCGTGAATAATAGATCAATCTTCGGATTTTCTCTTGGTGATATTCAGTGCACCAAACTGCCGATTTTATTGAATTGCATGGTTTGCCGCTATGGTTTTTGTTGTTTTGAACTAAACAGTATGTATTCGTGATACATTGGTACCTATGTTTTTGTCAGCCCCTGGTTTCTATCTTTTGCTGTAAAATATTGATGCCTTTTAAGAAATTCTTGATACTTATGCTCCTTTGAAAGCAAAAAAAGCATGATCTTCTTGAAGAATGCTATGGTTGTATTTAATTTAATTTGTTCTTCTTCCATCTTTTTTATAGCTGAAGGTAAACCGGAATATAGAACCAGAATTGCCCAAAATACTCATTGAATCTCTACTTTACCTTTGTTATGAAATTAAAATTCTACTATTGTTGTCTGGATAGAACAAGTGAAAGAGAATCTGATCTTAAATTTAGAATTTGATTAAGTTGGGCGTCTCCAACTGATGGAGTTCGAGGCTGTCGTTTCAGAAAGATTAATGAATGTTATCTCCAACATAACTCAGTTCTATTTCTAATTCTTTGATCCTAGCTGAAAGACCTAACATTATCTACTTTTGCTTGCTTACTTGCTTCTCACTAAATATCATGTATTTATGAAACGTAGATGATAAATGTCACTGCTTGTGAAAAACATTTTGAATTTATTCATAATATGTATCCTTGAGGCAAGCCAGGTTTTCGAGTAATTGAGATGGCTACGATGAAATTTTTAACTATTTCAGTCTTTCCGAGTGTCATAAATTGTGTCAGCTGATATATACTTTTACGTTCAAGTAGATGCTTATTTAAGAATCAAAGTGTAGATGCCAACGGACTGATCATTATAAAATAATTGTGAACAAAAACGAAGGGATAGTTTGGGTTTTCATATTCATATTATGCAAACATCTCTACTTCAAAATCAGGGACTCGGGCACGGACACCTTGTAAATTATATCAAGAGTGGGTTAATTTGGCTGGCTGTGTCACCGCAAATTTGGATACTATAAGCTGAAAATACATGGGAAATATTCAAATGAATTGACTCCACGTAATAAATTTACACTACCAGCTTTGATGCGCTGCTCCTCAAACTCAGATTTACCTCGAACCCAGAGGATCTGGAACGTTCAAATCAGGAATTCTGCAGAGGGGATTCGACATTAAAAGTGACTCATTATGTATAAGGTGCCTTAATCCATCATCTAAACACTTTAATTTTTTTAAGCATGCCAATCGGCCTCACACAACATAATACCTGCTCAAATTCCTCAGCAGCATACCATTAAACCCATAATGTCATTGTCAAACATATAGGAATAAATAAATTAGAGTTGCGCCAATTAAGAACGGAAAATAATACAATATGAAAAGAAGTGCACCGAATTCATACACCGAATGACGTAACACAATCTTAACCATTGATTAATTATGAATTAATATTAATCGATGGTCAAGATTACACTACATCATTCAGTGCATGAATTCGATACAATCCTTTCAATAACTGTAACATTACTCATTAAGAATAGTGAAAGAGAATGAAATTTGCATACTCGCAAGGTAAATCAATGTCCAAACAAAGTAACAAAATCTTAAGAGTGCATCTGAATCATATAAATCTAGGATAATATTGAGAAAAGAGCAAAATATATCTTGGTCTATTAAATGCATTAACCAGATCGAAAAATGTAAGAAATAACCATTGTCTACAAAATGTCAATCTATGAACGCAAAATCTCATTCGGTTCTAAAGATCTGTTGATTGCTTAAGATATATTCTGGGCCTTGTTAAGGATCACTCCTTCATATTTGACCTGGAACCATTTCATAGCATCCTCTTTTGTAACCCTGTGCTGGATCCCAACACGAGACTTGCACCGACGGCGACGGCCTACACGGTAACCCGGGCGCTCAAGAACAACATAGAAGTCCATCCCATAAATACCAGTTGAAGGGTCATACCTGAAATTTGAAAGAGATGGTAAAAACATAATAATATTAGATGTAATACAAACCGAGAATGCATCAGATGCAGGGCAGGGAGGGCAATAAAAAGTCACCAGTGAAACCAATTTTAATGACAATTAAACAAGCAAACAAAATTTAGTAAGGAAAGAACCAATGCAACTCAAAAACACAGGTATATCATCAACAGCTATGTTGGAAAAACCAATCACATCATGTATTCCAGAAAACCCTACAGTTATTTATAAAACAATTAACCTTAACACTATGCCAGACCATCAATGGAATGAATGTATATCAACCTTTGAATTGACACATCACATATACAAAACAGAACATCAACAATTATGAGCTTATTTTACTAACTCGCCCCCATCAATACCTCCTAGTTTTTTGCAGTCCGCAAAAAGGAGGATTTACAATGAACTCTATAAAAAGAATTTGGAAACAAATAAAACAAATGCACAGAACCAAAAGACGATGTACAGGTGATTAAATATTCCAGTCCTACCATCACAATAAGTAAACACCAAACACACTATTCATCTATTCTCAAACAACATGCACTGAGCACCTATTCTTGATAACTAATGAAGCACGAATTTATGTGAAAAAATCAACCAAAGAGCCAATAAGCAGTTCTATTAAACTAAACAAACTTAAGCCAACTAAATACCAAAACCAAAAAAAATTGAAGCCTAATTAGCAAAATGACACACTCAGGGCTAACATAGACAGCATGTAAAAAATTCTATGAAAAGATAAGCTTACTTGATTCCAAGATCAATGTGCTCCTGGATACCAAATCCAAAACAGCCGGTTTCACTGAAGTTCCTTCGCAGCAGCTCATATTCCTTCACTTTTAATCCACTCTCCAAAAGCTGCATTGCCTTGTCACCCCTTACTGTGACATAGCAAGCGATCTTTTCATTCCTTCTGATTCCAAAGGAACGGACAGTGTACCTTGCTATTCCCACAAAAAGGAATAAAATCATTATAGCTACTGAGTACATTAGAGCAAAGTAAAATAAAATAGCCACATTAATTTACTGCAAGCTCTGCACTCAATTTATTGGTTTAGCCACATTCATTTTCTTTTCACTTGTGCAACATATTAAACTAGGAGCATTTGCCACTCTCCAAGACCAAAAAGCCGGAGCACATAAACTTCAAACTACAGTTCCTAATAATTGGCATTTATAACACTAAAAAATACCTGAACTTTCATTTGAAAACGAACTGGAAGATGCATGTAAACCTTTTGAAATGACCTACCTAAGATTTACTGCAACCTGCCTATCTCTTATGAAACCAGCTAAAAAAATGCAAGCCAAAACTCAAACATTCGCATCCCAGTTAAGATACTTAAAAAGCAAACAGTTGACTTTCTCAAATTTTATACAGATTATTGTCATTACAATTTTGGAAATTTTCATTCATGAATTATAATGTAGTATCAGGAAATAGCAATGACAAAATCCCAAACTTATGCAAATTACTAAAAAGCCCAACTCAAGCAGCCCATCATATAGTTTCACTATGCTCAGTTTATGTTGAAATAACCATTAACTTTATTACACATCAAATGCATAGAGATCTAAGATCCATACTTTTATAGCTTCTACAACCCATCCATATTTTCCGACAATTTTTTATGACCATACGATCAATAAAACACAAATAAACCAATTACCTTTCGAGAAAACGGGAGTTTGGCCACTGAGTTGTTCTAGCACCTGGAATAACAAATCCCGTTAAGCTCCAAACAAAAGAATCAAAACAAATAAATAGTGAAAACAAATATATATATAACCTTGGCAGCTCTGGTGAGACGATCTCCACTTTCACCAACAGAGATGTTGAGAACCAGCTTCTGCACTTTAATTTCCCTCATTGGGTTCTGCAATTTCTTCTCTGAAGCCTGCTTTGCCATTTTCAATTCAATCGTTAAAGCTAAAAAAAAAATAGCATAAATCAATTCAATTGAACTAAGTGGAATTATAAAACAAATCTAGAACTACAAAGAGAGAAAAAGACCATTTCGGTTTAGGGTTTGCTGAAGTTGCAGCCGCTGTTCGGTGAAGATGGAGTGGAACCAAACCCTAATATGAAGAGCTAAAACGAAGTGGATTATACTAGGGTTTTTGAGGGCATTCCCTGAGATCTAATGACAATAATGCCCCCAATGTTATTCCTTTTTTCATATATGATTTAAATTTGAGAATAACGGCCCACGGGCTTCAAGCACACTAGCGTGGCCCAAATGAAGCCAGCATTGGGCCTGCCCATCATGGGCTTGAGAAGAATGAAGTCATGGGCTCTCAAGTCCATATCGTGAAAAAAATTACATGTGTACAATGCAGGAAAGAAATTCTTAATTGAAAATCATTATTTACTGGAAATGAAATATTTTTTATTAATATATTTATTTATCACATTTAATGATAAAAAATTAATTTTACTATTTTTAACTTTATAAGCATAACAGTCAATTAATATTATTAAATGAATGTTATATTTGCCTACCTGAATTGTCTTTTAATTAACATAACACTTCAACCTGACAATACTACATTTATCACTTAATCTCACAAACTTTTTCTCACAACCTTTAATGTGGTCAACTCATAAATAGATAATGCCTGCTTGCTATGGGTCTCGTCTGTCCAATTACGAGCTATCACGTCGAGGTTGTAAAAGAAAGTTTATAAGATTGAATTGTGAGTCAATTTTTATTGATTTTTTATAGTTGCAAACTTGAACTCAAAATTATAAAACATATAAGGAGAATAGCAATTAATAATAATTAATAATCTTTATTATCATTAAAAGATTAAGTTGTTGTATACTTAATAAAAGACCATACGTATTATTGACACCAACTAACATAACTTATAAACAATTAACAAAAGACCAGACATATTGTTAACACCAACTAATATATTGCTATTAATAGTAATTAATAATCTTTATTATCATTAAAAGATTAACTGTCGTATACTTAACAAAAGACCAGACATATTGTTGACACCAACTAATATATTGCGATAATACATAAGTGAATATACACCCCTTTTATAACCCCTTATTTAGACCTTTCGAATGCCAACACAATTAAATACGAATTGAATACTTAACAAAAAAAAATATGAAGAAAGGTTTGCAATATCAATACAATGCACATATATAATTATTAATAAACAGGTATGTTTTTACTACTAATCCAATGCACCCAAGGGTGCAGTCGAACCAAGTAGCTCGTGACCTACTCGGATTCGACTCATGACGAGCTCGGACTCGACTCGTCGGAGAACAAGTATTTCACGAGTCTGAGCTCAACTTCAAGCTCGTGAAAAATGTTGAGCTTTTCGGGCTCGATTCGAACTGTTCGCGAGCTATTTGAAGAACTCGTTTCGTCATTTGAGTAGGAGAGCTCGTGAGATCGATCAGTAAGGTTTCAGCTCGTGAGTCAAGGCCACTGACGCAGGTGCC